ATTTTAATCAGATTTAATATAAGAAAAATAAAACTGGTTTCAAACTCTAGACAGTATTATGGCAATGGTATTCTGTCAATCAGTTAAAATAAGATATCTGCAATATGATTACACTAGCATGACTAGTAGGTTATAGGGCATCTGCACAATGTTAGAGTTACACAGAAGAATGCAGACTGACATCAGATAGTGCAAACCCAAGATAAGTTTTCATGGCTATATAAATCTATAAACTAAAAAACTAGAGCCTACTTGGAAAGATCTAAGTAAAAAGATAGCACAGATCTTTGAAAGTATTACTGTAAAGACTAGACCTAGAAAACAAATACTAATATGAAAGGAATTAGTTAAGCAAGAACCTCAAATGAAAGGTACCACCAACCAGGCTGCCAGAAGTCTTAAACTAAAGAAAAAGAATTTGAAAAGCAGACTTTGAGATACTAGAAACAGGTCATAGTTCTTTTGGGCTATTTGGATTAGAAGTCTAAGATTGAAAGCAAGGGTTTATTATAAGTACTAGGAATATGCTATAAAGTTAGTATTGAGATCTAAGTAAACTCTATAAGGGTAAGTCCTGTTAACAAAAAGATTAAATATAGATAATTAGTTAGCAGAAAGGCCTTCTAAAGTCTTATAGTCAGATGATATATTTTGAAATATGTAAAGTTTGATAGATATACAGAAAAGAAGGTCAAAGTTAGGTTAAATGATACTTAGATGTACAGAAACTTGTATACTATTTGTTGGTATAAGTATAAGGATTAAAGTGTTTAAATAGGTAATCTCCTAGTAGATTGCAAGTATGATAGCTAGTATAAAACCTGCTATATGAACAAACTACTTAAAATAGATAACCAAAAGTTGTATATATAGCTAGTTGTATATCTACTTTGTATAAGTTATATAATCATAATTAAAATACAATAAAAGCAATAGCTGCTGATTATTATAGGCTTAGTAAAAGTAAAAAAAAAAAAACCTTTAGTTTTATTAATAGTATTCGAAAATTGGTAGCTGTATATGAAAAAGATTTTTTTAAACCATTCATTAAAATGATTAAGTGAATTTTTTAGAAATAGTATATTGTATTTTTCAAGAAATAGAGTTTTGAAAAAATTTAAGTTAAGTTTGATATTAAATTAGTTGTCTATTTTGATAAAAAAAAATTAATATTGCTTATCAACTTTAATAACTTTAGATATAATATTAAACCTTTTTGGTCTAAGTTTAATATCTTTTACAAATTTGATATAGTTGATTGCTTAATAGTTATCTAAAAGATATAGATGAAGTTAGACAAAATTAATACAAAATTGTAAATAATTATAGGTTTGGATTAATGAAATAGTAAATAAGAGAAATAATAAACATAAAAATTATTTGTAGTAAAAAATTAATTTGATTAAAATTAGAAGACTTTTAATATAACTGAATAATTTAATTATAGAAAGAAAAATCTTAAAAGTAAATATATAACTTCTTTATATAAAAAAAACATTAAATAGATTTTAATCATATTTATATTAAAATTGATAATAAATAAACTAAGATTAACTAATCAATATAAGATAAGATCTGCAAGATAGTAAGACATTACTGAGATTGATATAATTTTTTAGACATAATCAGAATTGTTCTACAAGCATTATTAAATAAACTAAAAATTTGTAATATATAATAATACAGTATTATAAAAACTAGAAAAAGTTTTTAAATATAATTAAAATTATCTTATTTGTAAGTATAACAAGTTTCAATCCTTACTATAAAAGAGAATATTTTGTTAAAAATTAAATATAATACTAAGTTATTATATAATTTTAAAACCTAAAACATTTACAAGAATAATAGCAATAGATCTGACTTGAGATATAATATAATTAAAAAACCAATAATAACAACAGTTTGATTTGAAATACAGATTTATTATAAATTCTAGACCATTTTTAGAACATCTTAGAAAAATTAATAATATACCAAAAATGAAAGATTATAAGAATCAAATATGTATACTTGAACAGAACTAATTTGAAAATGATATAGTAACAAAAAAGATGAAAATATAAGAAATAAGATATTACTAAATATAGTTAAATTAGAAGACAGAAAAAACAAAACTAAATAAAATATATGAATAGAACATATGAATACAATTATAGAAAACAGTATTTTTAATGTTTAAAATATTATATTAAGTTTTGAAAGTATCTTTATTTGTATAATGATTTAAGAATATATCTTGACTATATGTAAGTATTAAAAAAAACTGCATGCAAGCATATAGCAAACATGAACTTAGATACTATATGAATAATCAGATGAAGTCAGTAGTGTAAAATTAGAATAGCTAATATATTACTAGTAATGATTTTGTAAAATATAATTTTAAATTATATACTTCTCTAATAATAATTATCAGAATTTTAAAAATTATATATAATTGATAGTAATGATTCACTATAAGAAAAAATTTTTTATGCAACTAAATTTTAACAAAAAATAATAATTTTTTTTTACAGTTTCATAAGAAGTTGTCAGTTTTGATTATATTTTTTATATATATATATTTTTTTTATTATAGAACAAAGAAAAAAACTTACTAAAGAACAATGTAACTAAATTGTTAATGCTTAATGCAGTGATGTGAAGCCAACAAAGATTATAAGAGTCTTAAAATTTTCTAAAAACATTGTATATAATGTTGTTAATTATTATAAAAGAAATAGAGTTATTAAACTTTTTTCTTGTCCAAGAGCACCTTCTAAAATAAATAAATGTGATATCTATCATCTTGTGCATCTTTTAAAAACAAGATAGAAAAGCTAGTTTGAACAATTTAACTAATAAATTTATCCAATCAACATTTATTGAAGAGTCTACACATACTGTTCAATGTTGCTTTTATAAATAAAGATTTTTTGGTTAAGTTAGAAAGAGAAAACTATTTGTAAATAAATTCTTTTATATAAGTTAGTTAAAATAAACTGAAAACAAAGAACATTAGAATAAAAGATAAAAAATATTGTTTGAAATAATGAATTATAATTTGAAATATTTAAAGAAGATGGTTAAATATATGTTTGAAGAAAATCAAAGAAAAATATAATATAGATTGTTTGGTTCTGATATTTAAATCAGAAAAAAAAAATGTAATAATATAAGGCTATTTAGTATATATAATCTCAGATTTTTAATTTGGGTTTTTGGTAAGATGAATATAAAAAACTATATTGAAGTTCTTTATGATGTTTTGTTATCTTATTTAGAAGGTCTAGAAAATGTTGTTGAAAAAAAAAATTTTTTTCAAAATAATAATGCAAAAATTTACTTTGTAATATTTACTAAAAATTAGTTAAAAGAGATATATTTCTCTGGCCTTTGTACAGCTCAGATCTTAATTTTATTGAACATATTTAGGATAAATTAAAATGTCATATTCATTGTGACAAGTTAAAAGGTCAAGTCCAAAGATGAGGCAAATGCAACAGATTGTTACTAGAAAAATAGTTATGCTATATAATATTCCTTAAAAATAATAGAGGCAAATTTATGATTAAACACAAGATCAAGACAATTGAAAAGAAGCATTACAAGATGAGTATTATGATTTTAAAAGAGTATTGGTTTATTTTATAAGTTAAAAAGGCTTTATTAACTTTTATTAATATTTTGTAAAGGTAATACAAGTATATTATTAAGGATTATTCGAACTATATTGAACTATGCTAGACCATATGAACTAATTTTTGAAAAAGAAAAATTACTCTTTTTATAATGAATTGAATAAGAGAAAAGTCTGTGCAAGACCATGACTCTTCTCATATTTTTCAACACTTCTCAACCTTATTTGTTATAACTATTAATCTCTTTTATACAGCCTTTTATTACTTTAACATTTTTTATGATTTTCATAATACTAATAAGAAATGTTTTAGTTTCATAATTCTAGAGCCAGAACTTATCATATTGTCTTCAATCATACCCTCCTTGACATCACTTCATATCTAAGTCAAATAAGACAGGTAAAGTTAATATCTATTTCTAATATAACAGGTTGGTCCAGGTCAATCTTATCTTAATTGAAGAAATAGTTAGATCTTGCATGAAGGCTTGTATACCTTCATATGGCTTCATTGGGATTGGACACATATGTTTCAGATGGATCATCATAAGCAACTCTAATTAGATAAGTATGCCACAATGTCATCCATTTCACAGGTTCCATGAGATGTCAGTTTTACCTCTGACATCATAAACATATTCTTCTGCTAGGCAATGAGTCAGAACTATTCTGTTTACTTTAGAATGAATAGTTTAATTTGAATGGTTCAATTTTTAGAACTCTTGTTGAAAGTATGTCTCATCATGTTCATGCTGTAATTGAAACTAATGACTATTCTACATGTTATTAATTTTTGTAAATAAAACTTGTTTTTAAATAAAAAAAAATTAACCCAATTTGATAAATGAATTGTCAAATCATAAAAACTTGTAAAAAAAATGATTGTCATACTGTAACTAATAAATTCCGGTGATCACTGTCAGGGAAATGTACTATATAAAATTTGAAACCTAATAAACCAACTGGCAGTGTCGCCAAAGTTCAAAAAAAAGTTATAATTATTACTTTTGCTATTAGTAAGCAACAGTCACGTGGTTAATACAAAATTAGCAAAAAATCGCCCTTAGCAAAAAATAACGTCACTAGCTATTTTGTTCAAAATAGCGCTATAATAAAATCCGATGACTCTGGTAGTACGTATGTAGAATTGTTGGGGAAACTGGTGACTATCTAAAATCTGATTGGCTATTTCATTTAATGGCCAATTAGATTTAAAATAATCACCAGTTTCACCACTGTAGTAGATCGTACATTACGTATCGATCGACCGGTTAATATAGTTAGATAACACACCCAGGTAGATGTAAAGAAACTTGAGTGAGAATAGGGATTACGACCATACCTCTGCGGTGGAAGGTCAAAAGGCTATGGATTAAATATGATAATCCCTTTTGTCAGAGAATGGTTGTATTTGACCAATTTGAAAGTAATTAAATGTTCGAATACAGGCGAAATTCTTTTTGATAAGTTAAGAGCTGATAGTATTATGGTAAGTTTTAATTCTGCAACATTATAACATATACATGCTTTATGGTGATTTAAATTTTCTAATCTAATTTTATTGTCATTAAACTTCCTTAAGTGCATCGCCTTTTGGTTATGTTTTTGAGTTGCCGGTAAAAGTGTTTTATTTCTAATATGCTCGTGTGCGTTATTTCGAGATAAAGGGTCAATTTTATGAGCCTGATTCTTACTATACAGTATATAGGGTGCGTGTTATCATTATTTCGAGACACAGCATTATTAAATACTGTATGCTATTTAAAATGATCTGACTCTTAAATAATGCCCATGCTCGTTATTTTACGGTTACAGTAGTTGGTAAAGATCAATCTTGATTGTTTTATTAGAAATGTCGATAGTGAAATTGTAGACATTTAAGTTTTCAATGAAATTTATTTAATTATAAAACAAATATAAAAAGTGATTATCCAAGCTATCTCCATAAATTGACTCTTGGTTCAAAATTAGCAAATAAAATCTTATCGAATTATTGATTATTGCTTTAAAAGTATGTATTTGACGCAGCTACTACGTCTGTACATTCGATCTTCGTCTATGTATCTGGATATACTGAATTATCGTTACACGATTAAGTCAGACGCAGTTTTTTGTGTATATATATATATATATAAAAAAAAAAAAAACTGACCTCTTCCGTTGAGTTCTTTTTTTTTTTTATATAAAGGCTCATCTGTTTTTTTACGAGAAAAGGAATACTTAGGCTATCGAGAGTTTAAAAAATTCTTTTTTACAAAGAAAAGTTGAGAATTTTTTTAGGCTGTCGAAAGTTTAATTTAATAATAAATAAAAATGAGTCAAACGGCGTCAGCAGCAGACACAACTGATAGAAATGTGGAAATCTGGAAGGTTAAGAAGCTGATTAAGAGCTTGGAAGCCGCTAGAGGGTTAGTAAAATCGAAATTCTTATTTACTTTATTCTTCTATTTTATTTTTTTTAAACGTTTGAGTGGTAGGGAAGTTCTGACCTTGTGTTTTATCATGTGATAGGAACGGAACTTCTATGATCTCTCTTATAATTCGTAGGTTACCAAAATTAAAGTCGATCAGACATGATTTTAATTTCTAAATATTTACCTTATTTAACATTCCATAGCCCCCAAGGATCAGATATCTCGTGTGGCGAAAATGTTGGCAGATGAGTACGGAACTGCCTCTAACATTAAATCTCGAGTAAATCGTTTATCTGTATTGGCTGCTATTACATCAACGCAACAAAGATTGAAATTGTACACCAAAGGTATGTAAATATATAGTATGATCTATGATTTCCTATATGAATTATTCATTATATCATTTCATAACGGTTTAATTCTCTTACATTAGTTCCAACTAATGGACTTGTCGTTTACTGTGGTACCATTGTTACTGATGAAGGGAAGGAAAAAAAGGTTAACATTGATTTTGAACCTTTTAAAGCCATCAATACTTCTCTCTACCTATGTGATAACAAGTTTCACACGGAAGCTTTATCCGAATTGCTGGAATCGGATAATAAGTTCGGATTCATTGTGATGGATGGCAACGGTGCATTATTCGGTACCTTGAGTGGCAATACCAGGGAAGTCATCCATAAATTTCAAGTTGAATTACCGAAAAAACATGGTATGATCTGTTTCTTTCCATCTATTATTATACAAACTATGGTTGTAAATTGCGAAGTGGTTTAATAATACTGAATTTGACATGTTTTTTTTTTCAAAAAAAAAAAAAACCAGGTAGAGGCGGTCAATCAGCATTGCGTTTTGCTCGTCTTCGTGAAGAAAAGCGACACAATTATGTTCGTAAAGTCGCCGAACTGGCAGTTCAGTTCTTTATTACAAACGACAAAGTAAATATAATTTATTTTTATTTATTTATTTTAAATATAGAGATATATATATTTACAAATAAAATCATGTATAAAATTTTTGTAAGGTCAATGTCACCGGACTTATTTTAGCCGGTTCTGCTGATTTTAAGACTGAATTATCTCAATCAGACATGTTTGATTCGCGTCTTCAAGCTAAAATTATTAAATTAGTCGATGTCTCTTATGGAGGAGAGAATGGTTTTAATCAAGTAAATGATAATACATTCTTCTGATCAAGTGTATTTTAATTTTTTGTATTTATTTATATTGTCTAACGTATTAAATAATTCATTATTTATATAGGCAATCGAGCTCGCCGCTGAGAGCTTGGCAAATGTCAAATTCATTCAAGAAAAGAAGCTAATTTCAAAGTACTTTGATGAAATTTCCCAAGACACTGGTAAATTTTGCTTTGGTGTTGATGATACTCTAAAAGGCTTAGAGTTAGGTGCTGTCGAAACTTTGATTGTTTGGGAAAACTTGGATGTGTCTCGTTACGTTTTGAAAAATTCTAGTGGCGGTATGTTTGAATATTCATTACTAAAATCATCTGAAATTCGAGTGTATTAAGTTAGCTCTCATATCTCGCATCATATAATGCAGCGGAAATGATTGTTCATATGACCAAGGAACAAGAAAAAGAACGTTCTCTCTTTATTGATAAAGAGACGGGTGTCGAGATGGAAGTGTGTGATCGTATGCCACTTTTAGAATGGTTTGCTGATCATTATAAAGATTTTGGTGCTACTTTGGAATTTGTGACCAATCGTTCCCAGGAAGGCTCACAATTCGTTAAAGGATTTGGTGGAATTGGTGGCTTGCTCCGTTATAAGGTTGACTTTGACTCTTTGAATTACGATAGTGAAGAAGATGGTTTCTTCTCTGGTATGCTATTTTTATCCTGAATTTCTTTAGTGCATTATTATCATAGAAGGGTGTGAAACCTGAGTTGCACCTAGTAAAACTGCTATGTAGATCACGTTAGGGTAAGGGTTGATTTCACCCTAATTTAATAATCATAGCGATTTTAGTGGCGCGCAACTCAAGCTTCATCATGTGATATTAATATCATTTAATAAATTAATTTTTATGTTTCTTTTTTTATCAGATTGACAATATGCCATTGATCTAGTGATATGGGCTGACCCTGCCCATCGGCCGGCCGGGCGGGTGGGCCGGCCCTTTATCCATATATTGATGGGCCGGCCTGTTATAGGAGGTAGTAAAAGGAAATACTTAGAGATGATGATCAATTATGGAATGATCGATCATTTAATTTGTTTGATCGTGACCGACCATTAAATAGTCATGCCTGACACCATGCATCACTCGTATTATATTCGTTACAATAATAATATTTGTCTTTATTATTTTCCATTAACACCTGCTTAAAGTTGCACCTGCCTGAAATTAGCCCTTGAAATTAGATCTTGTAGTGTTACAAAATTTTTCGTAATAAAATTTATTACTACGTATATTTAGTTATTTTTTTTATTAGTCGTACAATCATTCCATTCTGCGTAATGATTTTCCTTTTAATTAGATACGTATATATAGTTAACTTTACCTTTTACTATGTATACTTTTAGCATAATTATTATATCTTTTTCTTATAATTAAAAAATTATTGCTTAGCTTGTGCGTGTTATTTTTCTTTAGAAAGTTCGAATAGTCGGTATTGATAATTAAATAAACATTTAAATTTAACCATCTAATCAAATGATTATGATTTAAGCCAAGCCCAGCAAATAAACTACGTATTACTGCCTGTGATTCCAGGATTTCGCATTAACCATTCGCAACACGGCAGATCCTCGTGTCACAGCATATTAGTGATTGGGTAGACTCACGGGTCACCGGGTAGACAGGCAAGTCTAGAGTCCGTGTAGATCATTTTATAAAAAATTGAAAGATGTTCTAATAAAATTTTTTATGATTATATTTAATTTTTATTAAAATTTTATAATATATATATTAAAACATGCTTTTTGTGGGATGGGGTTTCGTAGCCTAGTGGTCTAGGCATTCCTTTCTTCACAGACAAGGTTGATGGTTCAATTCCAGCTGGAGGCAAAATTTTGTAATTTACAGAAACATATGAATGTATGCGAAGCTTTGTGGTTTAAGTTCATGTGAATAGAAGATTGGTATATAAGAAAGTTCTCAAAAAGAAGTTTCCTGATATGGAGAGTTGGTGCTCGATGCGAGAGAAGTGATAAATATACCAAAAATGAAAAGAAGGCACATTAGCGAGTAATATGATGAACATAAAAGGAAATTATAGGAAAGGAATAGACTTACTGAAACTCAAACACCTCTGGTACCAAAACCAGTTTAGTAGATATAGGATACACTAATACGAATAAAAATCTAAAGGGGGTAATCTTGGTATCATACTTAGTAAGTTTGCGTCGAGGATAAATTCAAAGGATTATGTATATTCGGTAACATCTAATGAGATAATATCTTGATATAAATAGTAATTAGATAGTTTTAATCTGATATGTTCATGTAGTAATGAAAGGTTGTAATGCATAGGATTGAAAATCAGAAAGTTTAAATAGGGGATTCACAGGCGGATCTCAGGTATAATAGCTAGTGAATAACCCTTGGGTGAAACTCTTAATTAGATAATGACTAAAGTTATACATGTGATTAGTTATACTTTCATTGATAAACTATATATCTATTAATAACTAGACATTATTCAATAAAAGACAGACAGACAAGATTGCTACTTATAATAAAAAAAAAAAAAAAAAAAAACATGTTTTTTGTAATGGTATAAAATTTAATAATTAAAATATTAAAAAAAAATATACTCACATATATTATAAAGTTTCCTGTAATGATCTCAAATTCCTTGTAATGATATAAAATTAGTAATTTTGATTAGTTTATATCACATGATTATAATATAACAAAAAAATAACACCTAATCTTTAAATACATATTTCTTATTAAATATTTAACCAATTTTAATTATTTTACTATTATTAGAATCAGAAAAATCCATTTTACAAATTTTACTTAAGAATCTAAAATAATTAACTTAATAAAAGTTTTAAAATATTGAAAATAAAAAAAATTAATCATTATGATTATATAAAAAATAATCTATATCAGATTTTATTCTTAATAGATCAATAGAAATTTCTTTAAAGATTTATATTTTATTATGTTTATATTGATATTCATAGCTTTACTGTTAGTGTTATAATAAAGTTACAAATATCAACTTACTATAAAAGAAAACAGTTCTAATTTTCTTATTAAGTAGCAATTTCTAATATTAGAAATTAGTAAATAACAAACTCTAATTTATTGAAAGTCATGTTTTTTAGAAATACTAAAGAGTAATAATGAAAATTAATTAGTAACTTTCAGATCATTTATTGATGATGGGATGTAATGACCTAATGAAGTGGATAGGTTGTTAACTCCCAAGTGGCAGGTCTAGAGTTCAAATTTCAGTAATAGTGAAAATTTGCAATTCTTTCTGTGTTATGGCTAACTGTCTTCTGTGATTGGTTAGAATAAGATACCTATAATCTGTATCATACCAGTATAACTGAAAGGTTTAGGCACTTGTACAATATTGTATGAAGGAACACAAACTGGTACTAGGTGATATGAATCTAAGATAAGTTCTTAGGTCATATAAATCACAGGAACCAAATAAGAAGATGGAAGTCTACTTGAAAGACCCAAGTAGAGAGGTAACTCAAATCTTTAACAATGCTACTATAAAGACTAGACTTATGAAATAGAGCTAGAACTTGTAAAACTGGGCAAATGTGTCAGTCTATGAGGAGAAACTAGATGAACCAATCAGGTTATCAGAATTTTCAGGTTTTGAAAAAAAAGAATACATGCTAGCAAACATGTAAACCAGAGATACAGTCTTGTATTACTTTTTCAGACTATCTGAAATGGCAGCTTAATAGAACTTAAATTGAATACCAAAGTAGTAAGAATATATTGGGAAATTAGTATTGGAGTTGAAATGAACTCTACAAGAACATAGCAGTTTAATTGTATGCCCTAACTGTTAGTGTTGATCTTAGTCATAGTGATATTAAGTTAGCTATAAGAATAGAATACAGAAGATTCTGGAGGGTTTAGTACAAGGTCAAAAGTTTTCTATGTGAGTAAACTGTTTTAAAAACTTAGTAGCTATGGTATATTTTCATCAGCATCAGCCAGGGTCATTGGTAGGCAGAGATAGGTAGATAGATACAGAAACAGAGTGGTTAAATAGGAAATCTACAAGTGGGTTCCAGATATGGCAGCTAGTGTAGAACCTTTAGATGGACTACTTAAATTAGATAATAACTAAAGTTGTACAAGTGACTAGTTGTACACTCTCTTTATAGTTGCTTCTTGTAGTTATAATGCAACCATTAGCCAAATATACTATCAATAAAATCCTAAATTGCAAATACTCATCTTAATATTTAAAAAAAAAAAAACATTTGCTAATGATAATTTTTTGATCAAATAATTTGCCAATAGTAATTTTTTAACTTTTTTTTTACTTAGTGATTTTACTATAAGTTTTCAGATTTTTTGTTAATAGTAATTTTCTAACTGTTAGAAAAGATTATGTTTCAGAGTTTCAAATTTATAATAAATATATGTTTCAAAAAACTTCTATGATTTTATTTTAGAAATTTTATTTTAAAAGATTATAATCTTTATAGACTAACAATATTTTTTTTTTAAATTCTTTATCTAATAACTATTATCATATTCATTGTATTAGACACAACTATTTTTTATTTTTTGTTTAAATATTAAAAATAGTTTTACAAAATGCCAATAATAAAAATTTATAAAAATATTTAAAAACTGAATTTCACAAAATTACAAAGAAAAAGCATTAGTGACAAGAACATTACTTTAGTTTCAATGAATTTAAATATTAAAAAAGAAGAAAACAAAATGTTTACTAATTCACTTTCAAGAATAACTTAAAGTTTTTGTATTGTAAATCTGAAAGAGACAAAGTTTTAGCCATACACTTTGCAAAAATGCTACTTTAATATTTTTGTATTGTGGTTATAATAATTTTGAATACAAAAAAGATAAAGTATTAGCTAATGCATTTTGAAAGAATGCTATTTTAATCTTTTATATATTAGTTATAATAGTCTTGAATTTGAAATATAGGTTAGAAAGATATTGAACTAGACATCAGAAAAAAATTAGCCAAAAATTTTTTTTCTATTTATTTTTTATTTTTATTTTATTTTTATTTAACTGTTCTAATTAATGTTTTGAATTAATAATATACTTAAAGAATATTATTCTAATTTAAATATGCATACTGGTAATATTTTATTAAAAGAACTATGAAGTTTATATTGATTTAGATTCATCAATATTAGTTGATAAAAGAACATAGTCCTATTTATTGTGTTTGTCAACATCTGAAATCTTAAAAGGTGAATGTTTTACTTAAGCTACAGTTTTGGAATTATTATAATAAAAATATTAATTGATCAAAGACTTTTTGATGTTTACAATTTTGATGCTTAAGTGATGATAATTTGTCATGGATTATTATTTGAATTTATTATAAAGCTACTAAAATGATAGATTAAATTAGTAAAACAATATATTAACTCAGATCTGAAAAAAAATATACAGTTGTTTAAAATATTAATAAACTTGAAAATTAGAAAAAAACATTATAGCCATTAACCTTTTTTATATTCTTTAAGTATTCTTTTTTTTTTTTTTTTTTTATTTGATTTTATTTTTGTTTAATTATCAAATTTTATTTTAAATATAGGTTTAGTTTATATATTTTAGGAATATTATTTCTATACTAAACTAAATTTTTTTACTCTCTTTATGCCAGATCAGCAATAATTTTTTTTTTTGTATCAAATAGTTTTAATTTAATTTTTAAATTAGATCTCTAAAATTTAAAGAAGTAGGTTACTAATTATATATTTGGTAGTATACTTTATTTGGGTATTGAAATACTATTAATATATTTTTTATTAGGTTGTGTCTTGTTTTAGTTTATACATTTCAAGATTATTATTCATTAATATAAATCTATAAAATTCTGTGATGAATTTAGAAATATTAGTAAAATATGATAAGGGTTTGCAACAGTATATTTTGCTAAATGAATGATAAAGAGAATATTAACAGAAGTGTTATATTTAGATTATTTAACAAATTAAATATTGTAATGAAAAATTTATAAAAGAGGTATTTTAAGATACTGTTAACTACATTTAATAATTATTATACAAAGTTTTTATTATTATATTTTAAAATATTGAAGTTAAAGACATTTAAGATACTATAGAATTTAAAAGATAATATATTGAAAGATATATTATTATTTTATTCTATTGAAATAAGATTTTGAGTCAAAATCTTCTGGAAATAAACTAAAAAGATAATTTAACCTTATTGTATTATATAATTTTGATCTTGAAATAATTCATTTTAAGGTTTTATTCATCAAGATTTATATAGTATAAATATTGATTCATAGCTGATTTAGAACTTTATAATCTTGTTTTTAATTGATAAAGAATGTTTAATTTTGGTCTTTGTTATAAATATGAAGTTGGTGTTAAAAAAAATTATATTAGTAGATGCATTAATTCTAGTAAACAATATTTTATCAACTGAATCTAATTACTACAAAATATATTGGTTTTCAAAATTATTCAATAAAACATCTGACTGGTTAAAAGAGCTAATTATTAATGTTATTGAGAAATATACATTAGAATCATTAAATCAATTTACAAGAATTGGACACAAATTGCTAACTCTTTCCAATGATCACTTGTGCCAAAATTCTGCTAAAGAAAATTTAATTTTCTTTAACAATTTATAATTAAATATATCTTTTAAACCAAATAAAACTG